AAATAGAGTGATTCAACACCTTTTGCTGAGCCGATAGCTTACTTGGAGGGCTCATAACCTATCTATCGGGACCTGTGGGCATGAAACTGTAATACCCCGTACATTCGGAATAGGTGTGGATATATTAAATGGGTATTAATTTGATATTTTAGACATATAAATTCCTAGAGGGATGATTATTTGTGAAAATAGTTGTTTCGGAATCAAGATGGAGAGTGAGGTGCATAAGATTCGACAAAATTGACTATGTTTACAAAAGGTCCTTCTTCCAGCATTAGTTTGTGAAACTGTGTGAAGAATTTAGGAAACCTCAAAATATGAAAGTTGTAGGCCTTTGAAAAAGCGTTCCAACGATATATTATGAAGCCCTAACGGATCTCTGTGTAAAAGGTTATGTGCATATTACAGAACAGTGTGCAATATGCATGTCTCGTGCGTGCCCCGAGCGCGGCTGCGCACCTGTAGCAGTGTTACTGCCATTTTGCGTGGTCAGGTGCACGGTCAGGCATACAGGTGTGCTGGGGCGCACTTGGGGGTGGTTCATTTTAAAACCCTACTTCATTCCCCACACCCTCAAAACACAAAAACTTGCTCTAGGAAGGGGAGCTCTCAAATACCTAACTCCTTAAAGATCCCTCCACTATCCAAGGTATGTTCTAATGGTGATTATAAGTTAATTTCAATTTCTCAACATCTTATTAACATGGGTAAACCCTCCATATCATTATATATTCGATTGGGACATCATTATTGAGAGAAGAAACCTTAGAACTCGAATTCAAGGGGATTGAACTTCAAAAAGGTAATGTCTTCGCCCTTTAATTGATTCTAGAATTGGATTAATGATTATAGACTCTACTTCATGAGATATGAGTTGATGGGTTTGATAGAAAAACATGAACGGTTATAGGTTTGTGTTGTTGATTATTGGTTAAGGGTGTTGTTTACCTTATGTGTGATAAAGAATGATGTTGATTATAACCATTTGAGACTTTAGAATTTATCTAGGAGTAAGAGAATGGGTTATTGGGTGTAGAGAAACTATTAATAAGGACTTTGAAGCTTTATTCTCACCAAGTATTTGATAAATGAATAAATGACCAAAACATGAGTATCACAGCTAATATGGAATCATTTTGACTTGTATTGCTATAGATTAAAGTTGAAAGGGTTGACGAACGTTGTATTATGCTCAAGAGCAGGAAGTTAAGGTATGTGAGAATAACTCTCTATGTTTGGGAATGTTAATGATTCTCCTTACACTACATTTCTTTTACGACGTTACTAATTGCCTCAAAATTATAGTTTAGCATAGCTCCTTGAATAGCTGTAGAACTTCTATTCTTTAGCTTCATAACTCGTTCATGACTTTCATTATGAACGTTGTGAGCTCGGTGCGTATTCAATATAGACTCGAGTTTGATGCCCCCATGTCTTAGTATAGATTACTTAGTATGCCATAAACAGTTGAAGTTTCATTGTTCATAATCAGTTCAATAATACATGTCTCAGTCTAGTCCTAGTCAGTATTTCGGTATTATGTAACTCAGTGTGATCCAGTATTCCCGTATCATGTAACTCAGTGTGATTCAGTATTTCACTATCATGTATTGTAGTGTGATTCTTAGTTCCTAAATGTTGAACACCTGTATTTGACCTGAGGCTGTAGTTTATATGCTTTATGCATACTTGGTCCTGAGGCCGTAGTTTATGCTTTATGCATGTTTGGTCCTGAGGCCGTAGTTTAAGCTTTATGTATTTTTGGGCTTGAGGCCATAGTTATGTATACATATACTTGGGCCTGAGGTCGTAGCTTGTGCGCATATATCTTGGGCCCGAGGCTGTAGCTTATTCAGATAAACAAGTTGTTCATCATTCAGAAGAGGGAGTATTCATATCTTTACTTCCTTTGTTCAATTCAGTTATCAGTTATCATTTTAGTTATAAGTTATCATTTAAGATATCAGGTATTAGTTATCATTTCAGTTTCAACAGTTATTATTTCAGTTATCAATTATCAATTCTCAGTAATCAAATTAGTATTAGTTTCAGTATTTATAGTTCTTTCTTTCAATTGCGTTATATACCAGTGCAATTCAAATGTACTGACGTCCCTTTTTCCCGGGGCCTACATTTCACGATGCAGGTAATCATTTATAGGTTGATGATTCAGAGCGTTAGGATTCTCGTACCAGCTATTTGGTGATCCCTAGTTCTTTCGGGGCATTATTATTACCTTACAATCTTCAGTATTTTCAGACAGTCAATGTTTTTAGTACATTATTATAGGCTTCATAGACTAGAGTAATAGCTAGACATAGTCGCATGGTTTTCATATTAAGCTATGTTGGCTATAAATATGTTTCAGAATTGTATTAGTATTTCCTCACTTTGATTTATATAATCCAAACTTTAAGTATATCAACGTGTATTAGTTTATCTTTCGCATTTAGTATGTTATGATATCACATGTTGATTTAGCCAGCCAGTTGGTTCGCTCTGTTACATGTAGTTAGGCACCGAGTGTCGTGTTACGTCCAGGCCCAGGTTCGGGGCATGACAGAAATGCAGCATCTCCAGGAAAAAGGGATGTCAGTACAAATAATGTACCGATTATGTAAGGAATGAAAATCAGTAAATAATTGACATGAGAGAAACATGGAGTAAAAGGCTCAACATGTATTTCTGGATAACTCTGTAAATCATGAAATACTTATAGTGTCATGCACATGCGTATGAATGTCATGTTGTCCATAGGTACATGTTCTCATAACATCATCAAGTCTCTCAGGGCATCTGATAACTAGGGATTCTAATCTAGTTTATGCTCCTTTTTGCTTGAGTTTTGGACTAAAATGTGTACAAGTATTCCCAAAAAGCTAACTTCTTGTGTTTGTTTGCAGTCTTTGGTCAGAAAGAGACAAGGATGTCATAAGCAACTCAAAAAGGAGTGAAACCTGCACAAGTTCAAAGCCAAGTCAAAGCAGCGCTACAGCAGAAAATCCACCACGGCCGCAGAAGACTCACCGCGACCGCGGTCCTTATACAAAAAGTTCAGAGAACCTGCAGTTGAGACAAATATTGAAGACTGCGGTCTGCAATGGAATATATGCGGCCGCGATAGCCTCACAACTACATCTGTCCATTTACTACGGTCCGCGGTACCTCCATCAAGAGGCATTTTTGTCCGAAAAATTTAGTTGTGTATAATACTACTTTTTCAGATTTTTAGGTCATCTTACGTTAGCTAAGCACGTGAAATGCCGTATTTGACTATTTTGAGTAATTTTGTAGCTTACTTAGAAATTAAACTTAGTCTCTTAGCTTGTAATTACAATTTATGGATTATTCGTCATCTCAATCTATGGTTTCTTCTTCAATTATGAGTAGCTAAACCCATTAGCTATATTTGTGGCTCAACCCTAGTATGGGTATTTAATGGGTCTTTTATTTTAGGGTTTAGATGTTTATGGGTGATTGTTATTTGGCCTGATTTATGCTTTCTATGTTGAATTAGTGGTGGCAAATACTAATTTGTGCCTTTTTGACTTAGGCTCTTCTTGAGAAAGAGAGACTAAGTCTAGGAATTCCATGCCAACAAGGAATTGGGGTGTATTCAAAAGATTGATAGCCCCAATTAAAGGGTTAAACCTAGAGATAGTAATATACCCGACTTGAGCCAACACTGCTTGCACAATTTGAACACCCAATTGGGCTTGAGAAAGCCTATAGGGCAAAGTTACTCTTACTACCGAGAGGTGTAGAGTGAGTAGCTTCATGCATTGGCCATATCATGATCCCAACTATAACATTATTGCCCTAAGTTCTAGATCCCGTTAGATACTCGCCTAGGAGCAAGTCACTTCCCTAGTGCCTCTTTACCCATTTAGAAAACCCTACAAACATATCTACTTAGCTTAATTTCTCACATCATTAGTATAAAATTAGAAGAAACAAACAAACAAAAATGATTGGAAGTGTAATAAAAAGCACTACACGTTGCTAGATTAGATAGGAATCCAACTCCAAACATTGTATTAGCTCCCTGTGGATTTGATCCCGACACTCTCGGGTAAAAGCTGCATTGACCGCTCTTGCCACTCTGTAGTGGTGTAGGGTTGGACCCGATCACTTTTTGGTGTTGTTGCTAGAGAGCTAACGATTTTGGCTATCTATCTAAATAGTTTTGTGTCTTGTTTTTCTTTCCTTATTTGGCACTAATTTGTGTGTGTCGCCAATTCAGGTACAAAATGGCGAACAATAACAATGACCCTCTTGGAAATGCTATTCCAGGGGAGGAGATAGATGACAATATTGATGATGAGGTACCTATAGTGCCTCAAGCTCAAATGAGATATCTCTAGGCCAATGATAATGTTCCAGACACTCCCCCACCACCTCCAAGAGTGGCTCCTCGGCTGCTTCCAAACCAAGGGTATTCTAGTGCAATTGTCCCACCCCAGATCCGGGCAGGCAATTTCCAAATTACGAATGTGATGTTGACTTTTTTGGAGCAGTGATGGTATTTCACAGGTGCTCCCCATCAGAATGCTTACAAATATCATAAAGGTTTCGTGGATACCTGTTGGGGAAGCAAGCAAACAAATGTGTCAGAGGATGCACTTCGGTTGAGATTGTTCCCTTTTTCACTTAGAGGGAAAGATTTGGACTGGCTTGAAAGGCTCCCCAACAATTCCATTACTACTTGGGATGAGTTGGCAGACAAGTTTATAGCAAAGTTTTTCTCGCCGGGGCATATGGTCACTTTGAGAGAAGAGATTTTGGCCTTCAAACAGGAACCTAATGAACCACTTCATCAGATCTGGGAGAGATATCAGACAATGGTGAAAGAAAGTCCAAACAATGACATGACCGAAGCAATGATTCAACAGACATTCTACTGTGGCATTAACACGACCAATTAGTGTGTAGTGAACCAGCTAGCAAGTGAAAATTTTATGAATACACCTTATGATCAAGCGTGTGAGATATTGGATGAGATGGCAGATACTTCCTCCGCTTGGAAAAGTCGAGCCAATGTGCCACAAGGTGACCCCACTATCATCCACTTGCACAAAGAACTCCATGATCATGGCCAGGCAATAGCAGAGTTAACTACCACAATGAACCAGTTAGCGAATGCTCAATTGCAACAGGTTCAAGCTCCTAGACAAGTAAATGGTATGGAAAGTATCAACATATTGGTAAACAAGAGGCGACAAAGAGGTCAACAAAGTCAAGGTAGTCCGGGTCAATATGACCAAGGTAGTGGTGATTTCAATCAAGATGAGGGCTATTATGAGCAAAATGAAGAAGTGCAATATGTGAACAATTACCAAGGACAAAGGGGCAATGCTCCTAACCAACAACAACAATGGATATCCCAAGGAAACTAGGGGAATCAAAACCAACAAGGCAATAGCAACTGGGGGAACAATAATTAAATTGGGGCAGCCAGAACAATCAAGATAACTGGAGTGGCAACAACAACAATTGAGGAGGGAACACCAACCAAGGGGGTTGGAATAATGACAATCAAGGGAATTAGGGACAAGGTTTTCAAAGGCCTCCGATGTATCAACAACCAAATAACCCACCTCCCTTTCCATCCCAAGGTCCTAGCTCATCCAACAATGAATTGGGGAGGATCGAAATGATGTTTGAACATATGATGAAAACGAACGCCGACTGTGATTCCCAGTTGGAATCCCACAATACCTCCATCAGAAACTTGGAGGTTCAACTTGGCCAAATCTCACAATCCTTGAATGCTCGCCCTAAGGGGGCTCTACCTAGTGATACAGTAGTCAACCCGAAGGGTGGTAACAATATCAGGCACGCAATGACAGTAACTATAAGAAGCGGTCGAGGTGGTGATGTGAATGCCTCCAAACAAAAGGGAATTTTGAGTGATGAAGTTGAGCTGCAAGAGGATGATATCCCTCTAGTTGTTGAAAATGTGAATGATGATAACTTGAATGAGGAAGTGAGGATTGATATCCAGGGTAACGAGGTGGAAACTCAAGAAGACATGAACCCGTCTAGGGAACACATAATAGACATACCAGAAACGGTTGTGCCAAAGGCTAAGGCTCCATTGCCAAGGCCTCCTCCACCTTACACTCAAAGGTTGGCAAAGCAGAAAAATGAGAATCAATTTAAGAAATTCATTGACATGATAAAGAGCCTATCAATCAATGTCCCTTTAGTGGAGGCTCTCGAACAAATGCCAGATTACTCCATGTTCATGAAAGACTTGGTGACAAAGAAGAGATCCATGGAGTGTGAGAGCATAAAGATGACTCACCAAGTTAGTGCAATTGTGCACTTGATGGCTCCAAATCTAGAAGATACCGACGCTTTCACCATCTCATGCAACATTGGGAGTGCAAACTTTGCAAAGGCACTATGTGACTTGGGAACAAGCATCAATTTGATGCATTACTCTGTGTTCAAAACTTTGGGTATCAGGCAACCAAGGGCGACTTCAATGATATTGCAAATGGAGGATAGAACGATGAAGAGGTCGCTTGGTATTATTTATGATGTTCTTGTCCGGGAGGACAAATTTATCTTGCCTGCTGATTTTGTGATTCTCGACTATGAGGTCGATTATGAGGTGCCTATAATTTTTTGAAGACCTTTCCTTGCAACTGGGGAGGCATTAGTTGATGTGGAAGCATGGGAACTCACCTTCCGGGTGGGTGATGAAAAAGTGGTTTTTCATGTGTGCAAATCAATGAAGCAGCCTAATAGTAAGGAAGTGTGCTCTTTTGTGGATCTTGTCACGGAAGTGATCGTTGATGATACTAGTGCCATGATCAATGTGGAGGATCCTCTAGAAGCGGTATTGTTGAACCTTGATGTCAATGAGGATGAAGGAAGGGGTGTAGTGTGTAAATGCTTTACATGGTATGGGGTCTTCTTCTTATGATCCATGTAAGCTCTCTCTGGATCTTGAGAACAGAAAAACTACCCCAACAAAGCCCTCAATTGAGGAACCTCCCATTTTGGAGTTAAAGCCTTTGCCTCCACACCTCAGGTATGAATTCTTAGGCCTAGTTCAACTTTTCCAGTTATTCTTTCCTCTTGTCTTACTAACATGCAATTAGATGCCACATTGGCGGTGCTTCAAAAATAGAAGAAGGCAATTGGATGGATTCTAGCTAATATTCGGGGGATAAGCCTCGCCTTTTTCATGTACAAGATTATTCTTGAAGATGATGCCAAGCCCTCTGTGGAACATCAAAGGAGGTTGAATGAGGCAATGCAAGAGATTGTCAAAAAAGAGGTAATCAAGTGGTTAGATGTAGGGGTTATGTACCCCATCTCGGATAGCTCTTGGACTTCGATGGTGCAATGCGTGCCGAAGAATGGTGTTATGATTGTGGTTACCAATTAACAAAATGAGTTGATTCCCACGAGGATTGTCACCGGATGGAGGGTGTGCAAGGACTACCGCAAGCTGAATAAAGTGACCCGCAAGGATCACTTTCTGTAGACATGTGATTTTTGACCCTCCCCAAGATTTTTCATATTTTAGCACGTAAATATTTAATTTAGGTCTAATATAGCTATTTTAACTAATTCTCTTTTAATTTATTTTATTACAAGAAAATGAAGATTACAAAAAAAAAATAGTTTCATTAATGTGTTGTAGTTATTTTTAATCTTGAAGAATGCAAAAAAAAAAGTTGTGTTTTAACGGTTAGTCGTATTTTAACAGTTATTTTACTTAAGCAAGACTAATTAATAAATGAGATCGTATTTTAATCTCGTTTGTGGGGAAAGAATAAAACTTGGGCTCGAGCAACTCATTTTTAGGCCTAATTTTTTGATCTAGTCCATAATTACTAAACTCATAATTCCTAGGTCCATACCCCTAACCTAATTCCTACACCTATATAATAGTATCTAACACCTAAAGAGAGAGGGAAGCCTAAAAATCTGGAGGGAATCGAACAAAAAAGATCCCAGCGTCGTATAACTCCAAAAGACCCCTACCTAGGTCTTCTTCTTCAATGAAAGACCTGAAGTTGAAGCAAAAACCATCAGCTTCTTCTTCGCCTAAGGACTAAAACACAGCAACCTAACCAGAAGAACCTCCCCAGCCACCATATCTCGATCTTCTTCAACCAAAAAGATCTCCAAGACTTGAAACCTAAGCAGAGAAAATCGATAGCAAAGCAGCCTTGAAGCCGACAAGCCCACCTCCCTTCACCCTTCGTTGTTTCTGCTTCTTCCCATTCATAACAGCTCGCCGGAAAATGCCATAAACAACTTCAATACCAGTCAAAAGTCCAGAAAAATCAAGCTTGAATCACCTCTGAACTTCAGCCAAAGGGCAACAAAACCAGCAATGGAATAGCTCGATTTAGTTGTTCAAACAGTTTGAAGAAACAGTGAAAGTACAGCTGCTTTATGCGACAAAAATGCAGCAGCAGCTGCTCGTCTTCTTCCTTCAAAAATTGACCTCTAATCTCCGTTGCAACCAGTTGTAGAACCAGCTCTAAGAACATGAAAACAATAGCTCAAAATCGCAGCTCGTCGCCATGGAAATAGCAGCGTGTGTATGCGATTTTCCGATTCTCGCCGGACTTTTAGGTCCGGCTATTTTTTTAAACTTTCTGGCGACCTTCGAAGTAGCCGGAGGTAGCTGTCCGAGGTCCTTCTTCCATCGTTCGTCCAAGGTCTTCGGTCCTAGATATTTTCAGATTCAAAGAGCTTAGCTATTGAGGTCCATTTCTTACTTTGAATTTTAAAAAATTTCTCGTGTTCTTGTTTCTTTGATAACTATGGCTGCCATATGATTGTTCATGCCCAGTTTGATTTGTTTGTGCCTAGTTTGAATTCGATATTTTATTTGGAATGGGAACGAATTAGTTAGCTGATTTTGATTTAGATAATATAGAAATCTACGTGTGCTTTGATTTGGTGTTCTTATATATTCTCATAGTATGATCGTTTTGGAATCAAGTTGCTTTTATCGTGAATATGAAGTGATCCAATAGTTAAAATTGTTGGTTGATCTGGAACGTAGCAACTCAGCTCTCATTTTCTTTATTCAGTACTCATGAAGCAATGTAGTATATGTTTTATTGTATTTCTCTTCCTGCTTGTTTCCCTTTCAACAGCACCTTCCCGTTTCTTGTCAACCAGTGAGGGTAATTAGCTGAATTAATACTTATATTATCGTAGTACGTACAAATGTATCTTATTTTGATTGAGTACATTTAGCATCTAGTTTGATTAATTTTTTGTAGTGAAAGAGGCTGTCACACCTCCTTTTTCAGCTGCGCCACTGCAAAGAGGCGCAGAGGGAGTTTTTCCAATTAAAGGACAATCGAAACGGGAATTGTATTTTAATTCAGAGTCGCCACTTGGAAGATTTATGGTGTCCCAAGTCACCGGTTGAATCCCGAATCGAGGAAAAAGATTAACTCTGTTTAACAGTCTGCGCATCAGAAATCCGGATAAGGAATTCTGTTAACCCGGGAGAAGGTGTTAGGCATTCCCGAGTTCCATGGTTCTAGCACGGTCGCTCAACTGTCATATTCGGCTTAATTATCTGATTTTTATACAATTATGAACCTATGTGCAAATTTTAACTTAAATCGTTTTTATTATTATCAATATTATTTTAACAAAAGAATTGCAACGTTGTGAAAACGTATCTCGAATCCCGTCACATCAATGTACCCGTGGTTATCGACACATTTCGACTCCGTTGAGATTTGGATTTGGGTCACATAAATGTGCACCCAAGTTTAAGAAAGTAAATCATTAAAGGCGCGCCTAAAGCGACTAGCGTATCATCATTTTTGGGGAAGGCTGTGAACTTTTACTAAACGACCCATCCCGAAGTCTAAGGAATTTTACAAATACTTATAGTGGGCCCCGCAACTTATGTGTTTCGTTTGTCGAGGCTCATCTTATTCATTATTTAAAAAAAATTGCAATGTCATGGAAATGCATCTCGAACCACGTCACAATCAATGTACCCGTGATTGTCGACATATTTCGACTTCGTTGAGATTGGGATTTGGGTCACATAAATGTGCACCCGGGTTTAAGAATGTGATGTCATTAAAGTACGCGCCTAACAGTGACTGACGCGTTATTACTTTGGGGAAGGCCGTGAAATCTGCTAAATGGCCCATCCCGAATTCATTGTATTCATGATATTCCTGTATTGAGGGCCCCGCAGCTTGTGCGTTTTATTTGGCGAGGCTCGTCTCCTTTTTTTATTTTAAAAAAAAAAAGTAAGCCTGAAGCAACTATAATTTGCTATTTTTATTGTACCTAAAGTTAAAAAAAAAGAAGTCCTAATTAATTTGTTTTAAGAACTACTTCCTCTTAAGAAAGAAACTTATAATTAACCCGCATCGGGCCTCCAAGGCCTACCCGTGGGACAGCCGACTTTCATCTCCAAATCCAAGCACAACTTTCCTAATCAGTTAACTAATTAACAATGGTTACAATTATTAGCTTAATAACACATTACCATTAATTTCCAATCTCTTGTTAACTATTGACCATTGTCTATTATTATCAGATTGAAAACGTATATCATAACATTATTATTATAACTAAAATATATCACTTGTCTAAACTACAACGATACAAGTTTACGCATTACAAAATATTGTCTAAAACTTGTCTAAACTCACTAATGACAATATTGTCTAACACTTACATAAATATACGCATTATAAAAAAGAATTTTACGAGAATACATAGATACAAGTTTAATTCTTAACAAAATATGAATAACGGATGCACTCTTAATCAATAACCACATTTAAACCCATACTTGCTGATTTCAGCTCAATTTTTTTAGTGCAGGCGAAATGCATGAATTCGAAAAAAAAAACTTTCCTGTTTCAGCTTGCAGCTTGCTTCTTATTTCAAAATTATACTAAAAAAAACACTAAACCAATATGACTATTACATAATTCATTTTCCAAAATCCAGACAGTCCCGGAATCAAGCAGCCTAAACAACTTATAAATAGTCCTAATTATACAGTCGTCTATTATTCAAGTAATATAAACAGTCCTAGTTCAAATCCGTGCAGTCCATATCATGTCAACAAGCCAACTAGTTAAAAAAAAATTAAATAAGGACAACCTTTAACGAACTATAACTACAAGTATTCAAATGAACTCAACTCTGGCATAAAACTACATTTTTCACTCCAAGGTTGAACTTACATCAAGGGAATTCGAAGCATGCTCCTGGTATTGACAATACAAGAAGAGGAAGAAGAGGATCAGCAGCAACAGAAGTAACAAACATCAATTGCAACAGCAGTGCAACAACAAATAACCAGCAGCTATAAACGACTCCAAGTATAGAGCAGAAGTAATAGGAAGAAAGGTTCAAGCTATTTCAGATCCTAAGCGAGGCAATGAAACAGTAACTATTCTTTTTCAACTTCCCCAAGCTCTCCAAAAATCAATCAATCCCCCTCTTCAATCCTAATCCTNCTGCCCTCTCTTTCAAACTTAACTGCCCGACCCCCTTCCCCACTAAAAATCTGCATTTTTCCACTTAAAACCCACTAAGGAAAGCTTTTTCCTTATTTTCAGCCCCCATTCCCTCTTGTTCTCCATTACCTTATTAATTTAAAGACATTTAATACCCCACTAACAAGTCACTAACACTAAAATATTACCCTAACTGTTCCATTCCCAAATCACCCCTGAAACCCCTTAATATTACTGCCCCAAATACAATCTATTCATCCGTATTAAAACCTTTTAACTCTAAAATCTGTTCAAGCTAACAATGATTTAAAACAAAACCTGACTAACAACTATAACCAATCCTCCTAACCACTAAATGACTAAGGTTGAGTTCCAATTTAAACCAATGAACTGAATTTAAATCACAACACAGAACTCAACAGAATCATTAAAACTGAAACTGAAA